CGCTCCACATTCTTCCAAGCTTGCCTGTTCTCGTGGTGCCTCTTACGCGAAGGGTTGGCCATTCCTCTGAATGCCAATCTAAGATGCCCGCTCCTCTGAGCGACTCTTTTTCCCTACATCTCCATGTCCGTTTTCCCCCAAACGGTCGCGCGTGTGCTGACTGCCCTCAACGCAGCCCCGCTAGGTCCCCCACGTTTGCATGCTAAGTGTTTCTATGAGTGCTTGTCCCGCTCTGATACCATATGACACGGACTTAGCTGGTTTTGCCTAAGTCGTGCGGCACCCTCGCGCGTCCGTCCGCGAAGGTCAGCCTCCCCGAAGCCTCCCATTGTCCCTTAGGACCACCAAAAGAGAGAACGGGTTAGAGAGAACGCCTCAATCGGGATCCACAAGCAAACATCTCCGAAAAACACTTCATAGACAATGCAAATTATAAACAGACTTTACAAGCTCTGAACAGTGGCACAACAAAGGGTAAAATGGTCCATTACAGACCGAAAAGCTCTCTCACGTGTCCACATGACACAACCTTTATTTACAAGCCTAAAGAGGCCATCAACCCAACTAAAGTAGGACTATTAAGCCTTCGGCCGCCCCTCTACATTCTGTACAAGGCATAAACATGCCAACAGACACGGACAGATATAAGAATTACATCAAACATCTTGTTTCAAAGTTTGTCCGTGACAGTATGTCGGTAAGTTGGTACGTAGCAACCTTCGGACAAGGGCCAAAAAATGGCTAAAAAATAGAAAAAAAAATATTTTAAGGATTTTTTCCTAACATATTGGTATATAAATTATATATAAATTGTATTTAGATAAGCATAAAGTGTATCTAACCCATAAATGAATAGGCTATAAGGAGGAAAGTTGAATTTATCGTCTCGGAACCATCGAGGAACAACTTTGTTGCACGAGAGGGAGTGATTCGTTGATCTTGAATTAGCATGTTAGGAACTTAATTAAAAATAAGAGTGAGAAAATTTGAGAATGAGAGACTAAATAAGAGTGAAAGGAGGGACAGGAATTTATTAAGCCCCAAAAGAGGGCCAAACAATTAATTTGATCATTAGACTCAATTTGGGTTGGTATGGTTCAAATTTCAATTGACACTGACCTGTATTGATCAATGCAGGACAAGTCTTAATCGTATCAGCCAATACATACCATGTCAACTGATTCAGGGCCATATTTCAGCATATTACCTGAAATGGGCAGGTCCATGTACCGGTCAACTAGCGGACCCATACATACCACCCATTTCATACTGTTTGGGGCATCAAACATTGTATCATGGTATGTGCAAATCTTGTATCCAAAATTGAAAAACTTGATACAAATTCCTTGTTATTTTGACCACGGCATGTTTGGATGATTTTGTATTTGGAAGATATAGTCTCAAAAAAGAACGAAGCTTGTAGAACAAGCCAAGCGAGTTGATCTAATCTGCCAGCATATCTGATCTAAAAGTAATGAAAACAAAGATTCCCATCTTTCATAGGAACAGGAATTCAAAGCTCACTTCTAAAGATAAACTCACTTGAACCACAGTCAATTCAACCTATATTCAATTTCTTCCTCAAATTCCAAATCTTCAGATTTACGATCTTCTGCCATGCACACTTCTTTTGATCTTGCCATACCTTCTGTTGATTTTTCTTGATTTATTTGCACTCTTCAGTTGCATTCAGTATTGTTATGATTGATTTTCATCATTTTTACTTCAACTTTTCCTCAATTAATAGAAACTTTTCAAAGAATTGTCTTTCAGATATCTTCAAACATAATGGTCCACCATGCCCATCCAGACATAGTATTTGTTCTGTTGTTGTTATCTGACATAAGAATCCACATAGGGCTGGGGTTCTGAAAAATTTTGAGCAAAACCTGAAGTCTAACGGCACTCACATTAGACAGACAAACCTGAACTTCATTGTTCAGTCAACCAGTAGAGGTCACAAGTCCAAGAATTTATTTTTGCAAGCACATCCTATATGTGCAGATCATATGGTACAGAATTTCTCATTCCAATATCCATGTTTGCAAAAAAATGATCCATGGTAACAAGTCCTTCACTTGCATCCGGGATGGAAACCTAAAGAGTAATATGATCAATTTACCATGAATCTTCTGATGTTTGGTTTAGCAACATTGTTCTTCATATGTGAAATCCTACTAGAAGAATAGCTAAGGAATGTCTAGCATTATTCTATTAAATTTTAATGAATTTAGCAATTTTCTTACTTTCATTGAACTTAGTTTTTCATGTTTTCCATCTTAATGCAGAATACTTGTCTAAAGACCATTGGAGTTGATACTCTATAGTCTCTACCAAGCATATCCAGGCAAAATTTCCCTAGAAACAAGCTAAACAGTTCCCATTCAGCACTAATTGGTACCATTAGCAAAACATGCCTCAGAAATAATTGACAAAAATATGTCACAAGATATGCAAGGTTCCCTGAAGCATACCAGCAAGCCTAGCACAATGAAGTCCTGCAACATCAGATGAATCTCATCACTTAGGGGAAAAAGGAAAATTGTGTCCCAAAAGAATCGACATTGTCCACAACTCCACATGATAAGTAAAATCAAATAACTTGACCTACCATAGCTTAAGGGTGCTTGTCCAGGTACAAGCCTTCACAGGAAATACCCAAATTAGCAACAAAAGACAAAAAATTGTCAGGTAGAATAGCCAAAGAGCCGAAGAAAAACCAGCAATATACCTATATAGAAAAATGATGTCTTCAGTGCTCGTGCAATTGTTATCAGTTTTCAGAACACTCATCGTGTAAAATTTGATATTTTCAGACTATGAAAGTGTGTAAACAAGTCACTTCTTGAAAGGAGAGGATGATATTAATAAGATGGTTTCACAAAATCATTTAAACCTGTGGTAAGCAATCCTTGTCAAATATCTCTGTCAAATGTGTACACAACAGTACCTGAAGGAATAGAGACAATGAATTAATAATTAGATAAAATAACTCCTACCAGCTGGTGATGGTGGGCAGAAAAGTAAAAAAATATGTAGTACACAACATAGAGATACTTGTTGTTAATCTCTAAGAATTTTGGGGAAAAAATTGTCTCCTAGTTGCATTAACATGCTTTGACCTATTAGCAGTGCACTCCTAGTTGCATTAACATGCTCTGACCAATTAGCAGTGCAGCAGAATATTACAACCAACATTTTGAACATCCTTGGATGTGATATGATGCTGATCAATGAAAGAAGCTACGGTGTAAGATTTTTTACATATTCACATTAAAAAGACAGACATAATAGAGAACTTAAAACATAAAGGGTATAAGTACCTTGGAACCTGAAATTATAAAATATCAACCTGATGCTAAAACTAGAATTTTGTTTATAGAAATATTTTTTATTCTTCAAAATAATATGTAATCGCAACCTAGAAGCCATATCCCTTGACAAGCTGAATCAGGGATATATTTGACTGCTGATTGCACATTATCTTCATGCCACTAGGGATGTCAAACTGGCATGTACCAACCGAGAGACATGCATCCATACCAGTTGACAAATGAGAAGCACAGATGTAAGATGCCTGTAAAGGACAGAGAGATAATACTGTGTGCACATGATGGACATGGGAATGACGTGTCAACCATACAGCAGATTGTGTACCATCATGGACTATTGTGGCATGGTACTGTTGCTAAATGACCTTGGAAATCTTGAAATACATCATATTCTTGTGTAAGATTACCCCACCAGTTACAGATCATCCACAGTGAAGTTTAGATTTTGTGAAAAGCCTATAGAATTAAGACCTCAGAACAAATAGTCCACTTGAAGTCTAGATTCTTTAATTTCATCATGCATGTAGCTAAGAACATTAATATCAAGATCAAAAGTTTTGGAACCTCAATTAGAAGTCTAGAAAATACTTTAGAAAAGTAGTTATGTTTGCAACATTTAGTTTGTAGTGTACTAACTTGATGCACACATCTGAGACTCTCACAGTAAAGTATTAACGGTTCTTGAACAACTCAGATGCTATATCAATACTTTATAATCAACTAGGAATGTGTATTGATTTTGTCATTGAAACAATTAAAATCTTGAACCTTCCAATAGAACAGTAGATCATCTCTACACATCCACATGATTGTTTTTGTTCATTACAACACAGAAGATATATGTGGACTCGAGGCTTACTTATCATTGCTGATGTACATATTCTTAAGGCCTTGTGGCCGTTGCTGATGTTTTTCCTTTAAAGATGCATATAAAAGAGCACACACGCACGCACACACAAACAGATTGAACGTATTAGTATCTAAGATGACATGTATGTTTGTCATCATGTATCCATATATTCATAACAACAGAAATGACTAATATAAACCTTAATTAGATAAATTATGCAAATTATCCACTATTTTTGAACATCTCAATAATATTGATTAATCTGGAAAGTTCAAATAGCAGAGCTGCTCTAGGCCATTTTCAGGCCTGAGCTCAAATTAACACGGAGAATCCTCTTTAAGGAATCTTAGCAATTATAGAAAAGCCATATTCATTATTTTAAATATGCTGGATAAATATGGATTACAATGGTCTTTTAATCATTAATATTTCTTTCTATGAGATTATTTAGGAGGTTTTCCTAATTCTAGCAAGATTTCTCATAGAAGCAGCACCATGTTCTTGCAGAGATAAACTTCTTATCAATAAAATTCATTTAGAGGATAAAACTTTCTTATTTAATTATTTATTATCCTTCTATTTCTTTCTTTGTTGAACATGGGTTGGCATCATACATGTTGATTAATACACAACATACATTCTACACAAGATAGTTATTATCATATGGAATGAAAACCATGTCAATAGAGAGCAGAATTCACCTTAAACTTCACGTTGACTTATCATAAGTGGCTTTCAAATTCATAAATTTACTTATAATCAAGGTATAAAAAGTCGTTTAACCTTTGGGGGATGCTCATAGTTTGCAAAATGATTAATAGCTCCACCGAGCAACCCAATTCCATCTAAGAAAATATTTATGAGCAAACAACCAAAAGTGTGTAAGCTTTTGTTGTTTAGCATGCCTAAAATTTAGCAATTGGGCAAAATATTCAACACAGAATATTGTTTTGAGTGCCTAACCTTCTGTGAGAGTTCCCTTACCAAACTCATCCATCAAACACAAGGAGTGAGATGTCGCTTGCCTGTAAAGTTCAGCAGTTATACATTAGATTGCTGCAAGCCAGATGATGGAAATGAATACTATGAGTTTACCTAAGCATCATGCCGACTTGATGAAGGTCAATCATGAAAGTAGATTGTTCAGTGGTCATAGGCTTATTTCCCATAGCACAGAATATCCTATAAAACGAAAACCATTACTTTAATTAACCAAAAAAGTTTAAAGATGAATGAAGTTATACGTCATGGGCTTGTTTCGCATAAAACCTATCAGTGATCCCAATAGTTGCAGAATCAGCTGGTATAAAACTTCCAATATGAGAAAGATAAACCACCAAAGCCACCTGAAATTGAAGTTGCCTTTTCAGGTACAATATGAGCATATTGACATACAGCAACATAAGTGTTATACCACTGTAATATGTATGTCATACTATTGTACAAACAAGTTACAGATGCAGACTAATTGGATGTAATGAGATTAACAACCAAAATAGACATTGTTTAAATTACAGTGTAAAGGTTGTCTTCTGAATGGATAGCATTTCATTCACTAATCAGGAAAAAAGAAGAAAGTAACAATGAACTGGCCTAGTCTTTGCTTATCTCAGTTGCTTGTCTTTCTAGAGGCTTTGACTAGCTTCTTCTAGCAGCTGTTCGGATTTAAAAAGATGTTCCTTATCTTCTAGAACTTGGTCAAAATTAGTCAATATGTCAAAGAGTTGAAGAATCATAATTGCATCGGTTTGAGGATTGATAACTTGATAAGAAAATATGTCACATGCATAGATGGTAGACCAATCTACAGATTGAAAGTAGGATGCATCATTCCATATATTTGTAAATGATGATGGGCTTAGATGGCAGGCCAATCAACAGATTGAAAGGATGATGGCCACTCAGGAATATCATCATTCTGCCAGCATAAACTGCCACAAAGTGTGATGGAAGCAGTAGCATGTAAAAATAGTCTTCAACTTTGATTAATGACTGTTTTACTATAAGTCATCAAGTTTTTCTTATCTTTTCTTGTCTCCCTAGCAACGCTGACCTGCCTATTCATATTCAACCATTCATGTGGCTACTCTGTACATGCTGTCAGCAGAGTATGGTGAGCTGATGCTGATGGAGACATCGCATGGGAGAGAGAGAGAGAGAGAGATGGGATAGGAACAGATACTTGCCTATATAGAATGCATGAGAGCCATTATCTAGTCAAGGTCGACTTGGAAGGATACGACCAACTCAAAAGATATCAGTTGAGATTGAGGGATGAGTCAGGAAGAGGACTCACAGGTATGAAGATGCATAAATCTGAATCTAACACTCTAAGCATAAATATGTATAAGGCCAGTTCATTTCCCTAATTTGAGATGTTCAACAGTTAAGCAGAGAGAGGCAGATGCAGAAACCCAACTGGTAAATAACTTGACTTTTACAACAGTTAAAAAGAATACAAGAATAACTCTGTCTCGTACTTACAGATGTTACTTCTTACCATAAGTGAAAATAATTTTGACTAAGATGAGAACATAGTTTCACCTGCTTGACATATATGCTTTTTCCTGAATAGTTAGGACCAGTAATGATATTTATCCTTCCTGAGAAACAGGAAAAAATTACATTTATATTTTACTATGGTGCATGTACAAATTTAAACAGCTATTACCATCATCAAGTATTTTTGTGTCATTGGGGACAAAAGTATCAACAGTCATCTCCTGCAAAGCATGTCTGATATATCGAGGGAATAAATAGGCAGTAGCATTGGAAACTAGATCACTGTTGCTTTCCTCAATAAGATAGACTCTTATTAAGGTAAACTACCTAGATTCCGAAAATCCTTTACTAAGTGGAAAAAGGTACCTGCCATTCTTTATATCAAGAAACGTATCCTCAGTCAAGATGGGCCGCACGTAATTGTTTTGATGAGCAATCAATGCCAATGATAAAATGCTAATGAAAATTTTAGAGGAAGTATATATTAAACATTGTAGAAAGGAAAATGAGTGTGGAAAATAAATCGACTGATAAATGGGCTTAGCCGAAATGATGTTGAAGACAGACATTCAATTCCAAGAAGGATTACCAATCAAGTTCTGCTGCGAAGTTCACTGCCTTGATTAGCTGGGGAACAAAATTAAGTACTCTAGTGATCAAATCCCTAATAATTGCTCTCTCCATATCTGCACAAAATTCGAGGATATCATTTCACAGTACAAGGTCAGCTGTAGTAAAAGTGTAAAACAACCATACTTTATTAATAATTCAATGACATGAAACATAGAAAGACATTGATATAGATTAAGGATGAGGACTGACAATTGCTATTACTGTATCCACATCTAAAAATTGAATCTAGGGGAACTCGTTCACTAAAACGAGATGATCAAATCTCATGATATATTTTGTATTGCTTCAATTATGAACCAAAAGGGTAGAGGTGATAGTTGGTGTCACAGTAAGGTTGCCTGGACACGACCTGGGTGACTATGGTTCGTCGTGAAAATAGTTTCTCTCCTTGCAGGGTAAGACTGCATACTTCAACTCTCTTGAGACAACTGTTGGAGGGAACCTAGTGCATTTGGCAACTCTTTATAGATCAATGGGGTGGATAATATTCAAAATTCACAAGATGATCATCTAAAATGATTTAATATGAGCTTAAAATACAAAATGTAAAGAAGAAAAGAACTGATGCAATATAGAAGAACCTTTTCTCATCTCCAAGAAGGTATTAACACTCTTTCTTTGAGTGAAGTATCCATACCGAGAATTTTGTGATAAATATCTCCAAGAAGGTTGTCCAATTCTCTTGTCTTTGGAGTATGATAAAAGAACCTTTTCTCATCTCCATCTTCTGAAAACTGATAGTCTTTCATGTTAATTTACAGTTATATAGAAACAAATCAAGAATCAGTAAGTACTTACAGCCAATTCAAAATCATGAAGTTTTCCCAATGTTTCATCGCTAAGCTTCTCATCGAAAATGCACATCAAGTATCCTAATGAAAGAAAAATAAATGGACGGAGGATAAACAAATGATAGAACTGTAAGTATTCTAACTTTAGAAGAAAGTACCATGTAACAAATACAAGCCTTCCCTTGTCCAAAGCCAAAATACCATGTATAAAATCATATTGTACCATAAAAGTGATGAACATTCTGATTCCATTCATTCAGTCTCAAGCTAAATCTGAATTTGACAGTCAATTTGATATCTAACAAACAAACAAAGTGAAAACTAACTTATAGGTATCAAACAATTCTACAAAACATTTACTCAAAATAGAAAAATATAACAAACAATTCACTATAAAAATATTTTGTATGCCAAAGATATTTTCTCATATTATCCAATTCAAGTTTTAAAGTTCTGGTCAAATGCTGATATCAATCAGTGGCTGGACAGGTACATTTCCGTATGGACTAGCATACTGACAGGGGACGACTTGGGATCCTTAGGACCAAGAGAAAGGAGGAGAGAAGGGGTGAGGAGGAGGGAGGAGAAAGAGGAGGATCAACAAAGAAGAGTGAGGAGAGCAGGATGAGAAGAAGGAGAAGTAAGGAGGAAGAGGACGACTGGTAGAGCGGAGTTGAAGGCAGCACAGGAGCAGAGAAAGAAGAGAAGAAAATGAGGCAGAGAAAGAGACAAGAAGAGGAGGTGGAGGCAGTGGCGGAGAAGGCAAACTGAAGCCGAGTGAACCGGCATTGGGGCTGGCAAGGGGGCAGAGTGATGGCAGCAAGATGGCAAAGAGACCATGGTGAGGCGACAGAGAGGAGGGGAGATAAAGATAAACATAGGAAGAAAGGGTGGAAGAGAGAGAGAGAGATGAGCATGGGAGGAAAGATTGAAAAAACAAAAAAAGAGAGATAGTTGTCAAAAAAGTAAAAGGAAGTTCCTTTAAGGCATGGTATGCAGTACCGAATTGTCACGGCCTTAGCTGGAATTGCCTAAGGCGTGAGGCACCCTTGCGGCCAAAGACGCGAACTTAGCTTGCGTTGCCTAAGTCGCGAGTCACCCTTGCGGCAAAGATGCGAACTTAACTTGCGTTGCCTAAGTCGCGCTTCGCCCTTGCGATATTGCTCCGCAAGAATCAGCCCACTTGTAACCTCTCGCAAGTCCCGAAGGACCTGTAAAAGAGAAAGTTGGTTAGTTCGAAAGAACGAGCAACGGACAAGTCCCAAAGTCTCGCGAAAAGGGGAAGCTTTACAAGCAATTCAGCGAGCACCTTGCGTGCACAAGAGAAAAGAGGGAGAGGGAGAAAACAAGGCTTTAGAAGGATGAACGAACAGCTGCAAGCCCACAAAACAGCCACTCACCTGGTCCCGGGCGCGAAGACAAGTTCCCGTAAAGGCCACGTGCGAACTTGCGAAAGAGAGTTCAACGCCCGGTATATAATCGAAGCCCCATCCAGCCCTGTGCCACCCGGGGGGTTCAAAGGGGCTGAGATGGCTGACGTTTTGGTGAGCGGAGGCAGATCTCCGCTACCCTCCCGCGGCACGCGAAAACGGAGCTGTTTTGGGCTGTTTTGGGGCTGTTTTGCTCGGTTCGGTGAGCGGTCGCTTTGCAACGCTGCAGCTTGTTCGAACTTACATTTTTACAAGTAAAATGACCCAAAACCAAGAGAAAACATGCTGTCAAGCAGCTGTACATGCAGGTGTGAGCAACGAACGGTTCGTTGAACGGAGTTGTTGCGGGTGCGCGACGACCGTTCGTAACAGAATGGTACCGCCCGGTACGAGCGGTATGTACCGGTCCGACGACATACCGGTACGCGGACCGCCCGATACCGCTACAGTGCTACAGTATTACACTGTAGCAGTACTACAATACTACAGTGTTGTATTGTAGTAGTGCTACAGTGCTACAGTACGAAAAAATATATAAAATTATTCGATACATCAGGGTGTACCACTCGGTACGCCCTAGTGTATCGCTTGGTACACCGGTACCGTACCATACCGAGCCAACCTCGAAACATCGATACGGTACGGTATTGCATATTTTGCTTTAAGGAACAATAGAGGTGTTGAGTAATAGGCTTACCATCTAGTACCCTCGGTTAAACCAGGCAGTAAGCCTGGTTCTGAATCAAACAGGCAAAATCATCTAATGTGTCATGTTTTCTAGCCAGGCCAATAAATACAGATCGGTATGGAGTGGTCCAACCAGTTTTGAAGTCCTTGATCAAATCATTTTGACCATGACAATCTCAAGTACAATTTAAGGCTTAATGACATCAAAAAAGGTTGAGCTAGTAAATGAGATTGCTCCTGTCTACAAAGAAGAGTGTAATACCTAATTAGTGAGTCTACCAGCTAGCTAGGAGTGATGAAAACGCTATTGCAACAAACCTGACATCACTTTTTTGTCCTCTTCATAGATCATTCCAAATTTTCCACAGATTTCTTTACACCTTCATTTCCCACCCTTTTAGGTATGAATCTTCACAGAGTTACCAATGGTAAATTGTGATGACAATCCAACAAAATAGTTCAATAGAAAAGAAAGAAGAATCATATATTATCACACAAATTGTCCCCTGATATAGACTTGATTGCCTCACTTAACCGAGTTAAACATAACTGGCATTGATTTAAATAAATCAATAGAATGGACTGACCAATCATGACAGCCTAATGGACCTTCTAGACTCAAATCTAACCCTAACTGCTCAGCCTTCTTCTGACTCAATTGAGGATAACATTTTCCTCCAATCGAGAACTAAAACCTGGAGCAACCTATGCCATCATTTGGAGATATGATAGATTGTCACAGAAAACAGTTTCATTCTTCTCTAGAAATTTTGCAGTTAATTTATTCGCAACGAAGAAAATATGTCAAAGCCAATTCATATAAAAACAAAACTAACAATGACCAACCTATTTGATGTACATAAACAATAGATGGAGCTTTTTTCCACCCATGCTGAACTGGAACAGAAGCATTCTCATAAGCTGATACCTGAAAAGCATATTTTTAATTGTAACCAAAACCAGAACTCAGAAATTGAATATTTTCGTTGCCTGATATTAAACAAAAAAATTTATTACCTGCTCTAGAAAGTCCGGCAGACGTTCATAAACCATTCTCAGCTCATCCAACTACAGTTGAAAAGATCAAATTAAATACTACAATTCATGATACAAAGATGATATAGTAAATAAAATGTTAAAAGAAATTATTTCCTTGGCCATACTGCTGTGAAATGCAAGTTTCCCGTCTTAATAAAAATTATGGAAATAAGACAAAAAGTGATCGATTTCTTATATCCCAGATAGAACTTTCTGTATCCATTAATACACTGATGAATGACATTAAGAAACACTTCTGAACATGCAGATAATTTGAAACATAAATATTTAATATGGCATCATTCATCTTTCATAACATTGTTCATCTCAATGTTACGCCAACACCACATCAGTAGAAAAATGCTATCCAAGACTGGCTGTTATGTTACTACAGTTTCACAAAATCAGCTCTAACTGTGCATCACATGCCTGAAAAACATGGTTGAATATGGATTGGATACAGATCAGACATTGGAAAAACCATATTATTAGTCAATTTTAATCAGTTAATCCACTATCAATTCTTGTTATATTTGTTCAATATGGATATGGAAAGGAAATAGGTATAAAATGGATACTGATTTGGATTAAACTTTAGGCAAGAAATAGATGGAAATTGTGAAATTCTAGTCCTCTTGTATCAGGAATTGATAGTGGATTATGTAGGGATCAAGATAGGCCCACTTCTAGTAACTTTAGCTTAAGTATTTTAATCAACATGATTCTAGACGATATATCTAATTTTGTAGGTCAGAATTTCTATCAAAATAGGTCATGATAATTGGCACAGAAGTGGACCTAGGGTGATACTTGTTTTATAAGTGCCCCCTCATGGGAAGGGAAACTGTGGATACTGCATGAGACACAACACAATGTAGAGCCCCACTAGATCATGAGCTCATATTCCTACCTAATAGCAATAACTCTAGACTATGCATTAGGTTGTGGAAAAGATGTTGTTGAGCCTTTTGTGTGGAAGCACTAATCAGAATGATGCACTCTAAATATCTCCATAAAATGAAACAAGAAGTGTTGGTTGTTCTAGTTTACAGCCTCATAAATGAGACTAGAAGAATGATACTCTAATAATTTTATGTCAAAAAATAGCAATGACTTTTGTGACTGCAACAAAGCAGATTTCAAAATAAATTTTTTAACTTCACTTAATATAAAATGAATTTGGAAGTATTCAACTTAACTAACTGGCAAACAGCAGTGAGTTTGAGATCACATCAAAAGAAATGCAGCCAATAACATAATATAAGATGTTTATTCTTAGGATAATATTATTTCTGAAATGAACCGATATAGCTCATTGAGAACACGATATTAAGGGCCCACAGAAAAGATGGAAGAAATTAATTTTTAAGAGAATGTATGATGTCAGCCAAGAGTTGTATCTGAAAACTTAGCAAAGATACAAAATAAATGGCAAATGGGTGAGATTCCAAATGAGTTTTACATCAACCTGGAGAAAAACACAATAATAATGAGAGATCTCACTATTGTACTAAGAAAATAAAATAAATAGAATCCTAACTTCATCACATAGTCCTTCCTTTACTAGCGTCTCATATCCCTTCTCCTTGCTTCGCTTAACATCAATAACACCCATTACCTGCACAGTAATGATGATGCAACACTAGGTACAGATTAGGACAAAAAATGCAACATATTGTGAAATTGTAAATGATATCAGTAGCTCAAAGAAAAAAAAAAAAGCTAACAAAATTCATCTAATTGATGATAAAATGTTTATTAGAGATCAGCTTTTTGAAGAAATCAATCAGAAAGTTTAGATTTCCTACACCATTTCAGTTCTTATGGAAACAAACATGGTTTCTACATGCACAAAACTTAATGTTATGAAGTTCAATGCAACTGAAGTATGATGCAAATAAATACAAAATTCGCATAACAAGTAACATTTTAATTTTTGACAATGACAATGTTACCAATATAATTCTTTTTACCTTTGGGAACATGTCAAAGAAAATGGCATTTCACATAGAAAGATGAGCTTAGAGATTCTGATAAGATATAAGCTCCGACAAGTACAATGTAAGATTAAGGTTCCAAGTTTCTGTCCAAGACCCATACCGGTCTCTGGCCTCACTGGTATGGTGCGATATATACTGGGAGCCAAAGAGAAAGGAGAGAAGATGGGAGGGGGAGCAGAGAAGGAGGAGAGGAGGAAAAGAAGAGGATTAGGAGAGGTGCAGAGAGGAAGAGCTGTTATTGACAATCAATAGTTGTTGACAAGCTGTAAAAATTAAAAAAATCATTTTCAAATCTGACCAAGCAAAATTGTCAGTTCGGATGTCGGTTCTTGCTTGGACTGGTAAACACTGATTGGTACATACCAGTGTAACTAGTTTTTTGAAATTTGATTGAGGTTTATGCCATGAAGAAATCTAACTAATAAGCTCATAACAACTTAATCATTGTTGATAAACTACAAATTGCACTCATTGCAATTTTCATACAAAAATTTTAAAAATAAAATATAATAAAGCAACATAAATCATTTGAATTAGTTATTTTGTTAAATAGCCTGCCTACTAAAAAAGTTATTTAAAACACCAAGTCTGAAATTTTTTTATGGGAGAAGTAGGTTAATGTTAATAAATTGTATACCACTTTTCGCATTATTATCTCACATTGAAACGAAGTTGCCAAATGTTTTGTATAAATTAAAAACTGCAGAAAAATACATTAATAACATGCAACCAATATCTGCTTACTAAGATGAAAACACAATGGTTTATAGATATGTTCAACAAGAACTAGCATACTAGGAGATGATGAGTATGAGAATAGTTCCAAACTTCCAACTGTGTTACATACAGAAGAAGAAAATGGACACACTTTTGCTGACTTATAATAGTAAGGTAAGGACTTCACAAAAACCCACCAAAGAAAACTAAGGAGAAAAGTATTTAAGGAAATTTATGCACACCAGATCATAGACATAAACCAACTCCATTGTAATGCAGGAACTTGCCTAAAAGAAATCAAAACCAAAGTCAAGCCATAATTTTTAATCATCAATATAATAAAAAGATGTTATTTACATGAACTTTATCTCCATTAACATATTCATACCTTCTCCACTAAGTCTAATTTCAGGTATTCTAATTTTTCCTGTAGGTATTCTGAAATACCTACTTCAAAGATCTTGTTTATGTGCAACAGCGAACAAATGCACTGCAAAATGAATGGGCACCAATCTGATCATATAGATTGCAATCACAAAGCAATCATGCAAAATAACATAATAAAAGGTACAGTGCATAAAATATGGTGAGACTTGGAAAAGGGTCCTAACCATGCACTGCTAGATCAGATTTTAGACACAAGCATAAGTATGAAAACAATAGATCCTCAGATACATGCAGTTTATATACACTGATTAATATTCTATATGGTCCACACAAAATTCCTGATTTTGCCTTGGAAGTTCTTTTCCTTCTTCCACTCTGTTTGATTTCTTTTTTTTTTTTTGTTAAACATGTCAAAAGTTTCTTTCTACTAAGCCTTCAATAGCTGCACCTTTTCTGGTTCTCCTTGGAGTCTCCAGCCAATCCCAGAGACTCGAATATAAATAGGGTTTGGTAACAGGCAAACCCTGCCTCAGTGTTAGTTTCTCCCTCTCCTAAACACAACTACCAGACGTAGCAGCACACCACTTCATTACCAAGACCCAAGGGGTTAACCACTTTACAATCTTACAAGTCCTCGTATCTGAAACCTCATCTGCAATATAATTATGAAGGACCAGGAAGTACAAAACCTCCCAATTTCAACTGAACAGCCACATGATCATAGCTAAACAGTTATATGAAATAGGTAGTACAAAGGTGATGATAAACAGAGGATCATGGCATCTCTTGTGATGCTGCATGAAACTCTTTCTCGTTGCTCCAATCTTTTGCTGCCACTAACATCTCAATATTTAAATGACAAGTCCACCTTTTGGTTGTCTATTGGCAATTGACAGTCACCAAAATTTTTACTTAGCTGTAAATATGATATTGCTTCTATTAACACCTCCTTGAAAATTTAATACACCTTTTTTTAATAGTGGCAATTGTCAAACACCAAATTTTACTTTGTCACAAATATAGTACAGGCTTCTTTTTTTTTCCCATGTCCAGCTTCAACTGCTCCTACATTGGTTTGGGTAAAGATCAAGGAAACCCACAGCACTCCTAACTTCAAATTAGTTGGTCACCTTCACTGTATCTTTAAGCAAGAATTGCCACTACCTCACATTTCTAGTTAGGACTTACGACAACACTACTATCACGGACTTAGCTGGTTAAGGTGAATCACAGTAGCTAACTCAACACAAGGAGTGCAAACACTTCAAGTGCTTCGGAAGTGTGAGCAAAGAACGGGCGAAGGCCAGTAACCAGCTCGATGCATGGAGTACAACCCTTGAGAAGGCGAGCGAAGTCAAGTAACCTTTGTCTTCTCAACTCTTAAGTGAAAGGACGAAACTAAATACCTCAATTCTCTTATCTATCCAGCAGATGAGCTCTACATAGGTTCAAAGACCCTTCGAAGATAATGAAGGATAATAGTTGTCAAATCCTCACCAATGGTGATCAGTGACACTACGTCATGTCAGTCGGCAACCTAAGGCCAAGACCGACAAAAGGTTAGCCTACTCATTGTCAGCATCTCAAACTTATCCTCCCTTCCTTCAATTCTATTTATGTAGTTTTTATTAACATCCAAAAAAATGTCATAGATAAGTTATCAGAACTTTTATATAATAGTAGGAGACAAAGGCTTGCAGTTATTTCTAAATGGTAATTAGAAAATTATTTCCATACACATTGAGGAACTTGAGTATTGAGCAGTTAAAAAATATATACAAAAAGTTTGTGTTGCCGAGATGAGAACGTCGAGATGAATGTGTAGAGTTACTAGGAAAGATAGGAAAAGAAATACTTTTATTCGTGAACAACTAGGTATCACTTTGATAGAGGATAAGATAAGAGAATTATTTAAGATAGTATAAGTATGTGCTGAGGAGACCTCCAGATGCGATAGTCAGAAGAGATGAAATAATTAATATTAGTAGTACGAGGAGAGGTAGAAGAAGACCTAAAAAGGCCTTAATAGAAACTATAAATAAAAATTGAAGTACTTTGAGTTTAACTAAACATGTGACTTTTTACGTATCTTAATTGGCGACAAAAGATCTATGTAGCCGACCCCAAATAGTTGGGACTTACGGCTTTATTGTTGTTGTTGTTGCTGTTGTTGTATTTAGGAACTTGCATATTCTCAAGCTGCCAAGCATAGATTGCATATAGGCCTACCGATGGCATCTACTGCATGTCGTCAATCCATGAAACCCAAAAACCGCAATTATGAATATTTACCAGAAACATAATAATGCTTGCTCTTATCCTACGTACAAGAATATGAGTGGAAATAATGTGAGAAATGCAACTGAAGAGACTATTTTCTGATAATGCAGCTGGTTCTGGAATAACCAAGCTAACAGATGAAGCATTTCCCTAAGGTAAACTTGGTGCCAAATACAAATTCAATAAAATAGTAAACGAAGAAAATTTTGTTGTATAACTCAGAAGAAAAAAAATCATGTCACCTTCAAAAATGCATTCCAATCGCTGGTTGTGCATAAAGAGCTAGGTGAGTTGAATTTCTACAACAAAAAAGGAATCATCAGTTTTCGCAAAATTAAATATAGTCATTTGCACTAAACATCTAGAAAATTATAAATAAAAACAACAAACAGTTATAATATGTCATAGAAATGTGTACTATCACTTAGAGAAAATGTAGCATTTACTAGATAAACTAACTAAAAAGAAAATGGCATATTTTAGATCCGAGGCAGTGATTCAAAGCATTCATAAATCTGCTGCAAAATTCGATGGATTGCAAATGATCAACATGATGATAAGTTTCACTCTTTACATCAGCAGGTGAATAAGTTGAAATAAAGCAGGATAACATAAACCATAAATTAGCATTAGATCTGTGAGTTAACTCTCAAACAAGAGAGATCTATGTTGCCATGTGGAGTTGTGGGGCCCACGAATGTGCTATTCAAATGTCATGTACATCCTTTTTCACAAGAAAGAGACATATCTCAATCTTCTTGCAGGGTTTATTAGTTAATCTGGCCATTTATCCCATTATAACCTTTTGTACGACCAAGAGACATGTCATAATTCTTCCAAGATTCTATGAGCTGACTAGGCAATGCCATACTCATCAAGAGGACTTGGTGTTCATGATCTACAACTTATCAACCATTTGCACAGTCATCATATAGAAGGGAACAATGAAATAAAAGAAACACGTGAAAAAATATAACTTACAATCCAATAATAGTATTTCACCTCATCAGCAAATTTATTGACAACCAATAAAATTTGTTTCACTTCTGTTCTTTTGACATAGAATCAAGCTCTTCTAGTTTTAAGATTGTAATAATAGAATAATTCTCCTGGATTAATTTAAAATATCCAACAAATAATGAAAATAAGCTCTAGATACAAATATAGTCACCCTGGTAGAGCATACAACAAAAAAAAATGGCCATGTAGTCACCTTGAGCATGTGGGGAACATCTCTTACAGTCTTTAACGTCTCACGTAAAGCAGACATCACTTCTTCACAGCAAAGGAAAAATGATATCTATCCATTTTGTTGAAGTACTACAACTCTGTTTTAGATGCTCAGTTGTTTACTAAGAAGTTTTATGGGAAAACCAAATCATGCTATAAGAAGGATACTGTATTCAGACGGTTGTTTAACATGTCAAGGTCAAGTATAGGCCTCAAGAACCAAGCCCTGATTCAAACATAAGAGAACTTCGAATCTCTTGGATGTGATACCAATAAAAGTGTATCTTGATAGGCTTGATGGGTTTACCTCAAAAGCCTCCTTCCCATTGGTGTAACACACTAAATGGTAAAAGATTATTAGTTCCAAGTTTCTGCAACTATACAAAATTGAACTTCTCATACCTTATTAAACATTCCAAAAACTGAGAACCTGCACTAAGAGAAGTAGAATTATTATTTTTATAAAAATATCCCAGTATATATCAGATTAGCCTCGTCTTTACCCTTCCTTTGCTCTGCCTATTCCCATGTCACTAGGATGCTTATCAACTTGAAAAATCTGTAATGCCTCATGAGCAGCTGCATCAAGTTTGAGAAACTTGTCTCTGTGTCTTGATGTAAGAAATAAATTGCACTTTCTATCGCTAAATTATGCACTTGAGCACTAAAAAAGGATGACTGCTTGTCTCAGAGCAAAAAATGACAGGATAACAAACTACGATTACAATTTAAACAAGAAGGATAAAATGAGATTTGTGACATGCAATCAATTGTTATTGATGAATAGCCACATTCATTTTGTTGAAATGTATCTACGAGCCTCTCATTCTCTAGTATAGCAAGAAGACCACCAGCAGCACGAACTTGAACTTCACTTCCTAGGTCCATCATGGAGTTAAGCTGCATGTAATAAGCAGGTTGCTTCAAATGATCAACTAAGTATATAGGAAGTTTGTGAAGAAATTAATATATATACAAAGCTGTGTGTCTATAAAAGACTTATATAGCAAAAATAATAGAACATTATTTATAATATTACATTGATATAGAGTAGAAACATTGTCTTCCATTTAAAAGAACCAAAATAAAATGCAGAAATATTGAATCAAATGGTATCTCTAAGGTGTTTCTGGATGATTGGGATAAAATAATTGAAGGAAAGGTTTGGATCCTTCATGAAGCCTGCATTAACATTCGCGGATGCAAGAATCCAAATGCAAATGTTGTTGGGTGATGGGATCCATGCATCTCTTTGCAACAGCCACTGCAGAATGAGCTTAAAAAATGCACTTCTAGTCACCGTAAACATGACATAATACAGGTGTCTATGGAATCTATAATACATCACTCCTTGTATTATTAGACCTTTATGAAGTCCGGACTCCTAAGACCCTTGTACCTATCTAGATGCCCTATGTATGTTGCTTGATCTGTTTCTTGAACAATTATCTTGTGTGATGCTTGCAAATGCAGGCTGGCATATACTAAAGGCTCCATATTGCAGAAATCTAAACAAAACTTATAACGAGAAACTGCTGGTATTTGTAGATAAAAAGAACCAATTTAGATGAACCTGCATCAACAATACTAATAAATATCGGCATCTATCAGTGTACAATCGAGCTTATTGAGCATCTGTATGTAGGAAACTAAATACCCCCAAAGTGAATCATTCGATGCCTGATTGTTTCTCTGTCTAAACAACAATCATGTGGACTCAAGTAGGATCCATGTCAATTAAGTGCTTACAAAGCATATTCTCTCTTTGATGCTAAGTCCATCATCCATTCCAGCAACCCTTAGGTAAACTAATCTGCAGTTCAAAAAAATTAAAGAATTATGTATGAACCCTGACACTCCAAGCAGATTAGCGAAACGAGAAAATTGCCCAGGAAGTGCTAAAATTAAAATGCTGAGGCAAGATCTGATAATATCCAGAAAATGCAGCACACAAGGACAACTTAGCCATTAGGTCTCAACTTTGCTATCTAAAATCAACAAGATGAAGAACAAAGCAGCAAGAATGAACCAATATATGTTATCTTCACAAGTCAATTGATTAAGCTTTCTAAGATGACCATGAAAGTGAAGATATTTCAAGGTAAGATTTAACTTCAATATTTCAACATTGGAAAATGCATCCCATCTAGCTAAAGAGTTTTGGAGTGAAGACCAAACTCTAGAATGGCAAAAAAGCAATTTTTATATATTGACCAAACAAAAGATTTCAATATCGTGGCATGGGAGGATATCCGAATGCATGAGAGCTAAATCAAGCATATGTCAGTCATATGCCAATCACAATTCCCCAGTAGAAACGTGGATTCGAGCTCCACATTGCACAAAACCTTTTTTGCATGGCATGGTTGGCTACGGACAATAAGAGTTGCACATGCAATCCATGAATTCAATTAAATCAAAACCCAAGGAAAACAAAAGTTCTGTCTTCCTGGCTTCTCAGAATCATACATACCTGTGCCATGCTTGTTCATAGCTGAAAATTGAACTTCGTATAAGCTTCACTTCAAAGGTTTCAATAGAAACTGTTCAATAATGAAAAATTAGAGGAAAAGAGAACGGGGGCAATGAACTTTGGTAGGGAAATTTTGAAGTTACAAACCATTTCGCTGTAGAGCAGCTAAGAATAATTCATCTGTTTTAGTGCTGGCATATATGACCAATGGTTTCACCTGATACTTCACTGATTCAGCAAAATACCAGAGAAACTCTTAGTATAAAGAATTGTCATATATTCTTAAGAGATGCTGCAGCTAGCATCAGGGTCGACTTGCTATAAAATAGACCAACTTAAGGATACAGACTAAAAGAAATAAATCCATAAGGACAGACTAAAGACTTTGCATATGAAGATTATTAGCATTTACCTAGATCAATCAGAGGAAGTTCTCCATTTCCATCTTCCCAAAATTCAATGACAAAAAGTTGATGTGTATTTGCATCATAGTATGCTACTCCAACTCTACATTGACAAAATGTGAGTCATCTAAAATGAAATGGAAATCACACGAGATACAAAATTATCTATTATGCTACTCCAACTCTATATTTGCAAAATTAATGCAAATGCCAAATCATCTAGCCTCCAGGACTGTTAGAAAAATCAGCAATAACTGCATTCAATGAGGTAGAGCTTGGCAAACGGCATCCTTCATAAAAGTGCAGAAAAAAATTTTGATCTTATGAGGCACATCCATCTTCCAAGTATTCTTATTTGAGTCATCATGTAGGCCCCTTATCAATTAGAAAAATGTACAAGGATTTGAACAAGAATCTTCTATATGCATTCCAACATCTATCAAATGTATAGAAGATGATAGTGTCATTCTTGCCTATAATTTCACTTTATTGTAGTGCCTCTAAAAATATTTAACTTGCAGTATGTTACAAAAAAAAAAGAAATTTCGATGAAGGTTTTTATTGTCTCAGGATAAGGGTGTTTCAACACTCAAAAAGCAGTCTGACGCAATTATTGTAACTTGTATACCAGCATGCCACAAGAAGCATTGGCATGCTAGCCTTTTTTTTCGAAAGATTTTAATAGATTATCTCTGATATGATTTTTCATTGAGGGCAGGCCTTGGCATCACAATAAGGCTACCGCTTTCATTATCTACATGAAGAAAGAAGACCAAGGAATTAAATACCAGCCAGGCTGGTGTGGACCAGTAGTTACCGTTCCAAACAATGATGGGTGCTAAACCTGTTAGTCAGTACCAGTTTCTGGAACAAGCTGGCATGTCCTTTTTCATATTTTTCTCGGTATACCAAGTGGTCTAGGTCAGTAAATCACCTAAAATACCAGTATCGTATCGGTCCGACAAGCTACCAAAACTAGCATAGAATTAAGATTTAAATCCTTGTCTAACACTACATATAATGAAATTCTTTCCAAACCTCATATTGAAGGGAACCTCATGTCATCCATTTTTTTCAATATGATTTTACACTAAATTTAGAATAATTGTTCAGTATCATGTTCAACTATTTAGTATGTTATTTGCTTGGAATCAGAACATGAAACATTACATGAATTTTAAGCCATAAACATGAACACGATATAATAAAGAACAATGAACATAATTTGTTTGCATATACTTGATTTGGGGTTTGATCACATAAGAATCCATATTAGTATCTTCAAGTTAAGTGACTAATAAATAAAGGTTCCTTCTCTTTCCACTTAAGTTGATATTGCACATGGGAAATAAAAACCAGCTCATGTACTGTAGATAGTCTACATGGTAGTGCCTCAATAGAGTACTAGAACATGATCAAGTTTCAAGTGATGAGATCTAGTCCCTTGATGCAAATTTAGCATTCTCTACCTTCCCATGAATCATACCCATTTGCATATCAAAAACAATGAGAAATACGAGGACACAATAGAAGAATAGCCCGAAGAATAGCCCCCCAGTTGTGTACTTCTTCAAAGCAAGGACCAAGGCAGACAGCAGATATAGTAAAAACAGGTACAGAAGAATAGAAAGGAGATAGAGGAGCAGACAAACAGACACTGGGAAGGTCCCAACATTTTGATAAGGGGAAGGAGGGACCTACTATTACTTCAGGTAGACAATCTGGATGAAAAGGGATGATAGTGATTGTCCATCCATCATCCACACCTCAGGCTACATTGGTCAGTGCTGGCACATGAACGTGTGTGGATAAGAAACCCTCATGCATGATCAAAAAAACTGATTCAATTTAAAATGAAATGAACAGAAACAAACCAAGACTCCCAAACTCAGCCTGATAGAACTGCATCAAACTGCACAAACTATATACCACCAATATACATCAGCACTAAAATCTTACTAGCTCCGGTGCATGAAGCCTAATACAGGGTGTTACTTGTCCTGGACCTTCTAACGTTGATCATTCTAAATTCCACTATTCATAATGATGAATTATAATGCCTATGTAAACAAAGAGATTGATGGGAACCGTATGGAGAAAATGACTTGTTTCGGGTAGTCTTTACAGAAGACTAATTAAAGCAACTGTGAATTAGATGATCCACGTTAATTAAAACTAACCAATTCCTTCCAAATGAATGATCTAAACGTAAAAATTAACAAAATAAAATCATGCAAAAGTAGTCATTCTAGCATAAAGAGAAAAAAAAATGGATATGGCAATTGCTTACCTGTGACCATGTATAATGCAAGCCATGTACACCTACAAAATATATTGCACGATAAGTGCATACAACAGAACAAAAGTAATCCGAGATTTCTGATAAACGGCATGCTAATACAATAGTAATAATGACTAAATTGGTAAAATAGCGCAATGCTACAAATAGAAAATGTATTTGTAGAAACACTATCATGACATATGTTTCACATGTATAAGGTAAGTTGTATTTAAAGATCGAGTTATGGCAACGTACATCCCTCGAGAACAAGAAGGTTGCTAGGTGGACGGAAGTGGTAGGTGTCGGGGAAAGGAAGAGGTGGAACAAGTGAAGAATCAAAAACTACCGTACGACATAAACACAATATTTTCGGAATAGACCTCGTAACAACAACCAGTTCAGTTTCCCCAAACAAAAACAGGAAAATATTAGGGTTTTAGCTGCTATTCCAGCACAACTCAACAGGGGAATCGGAAGTAGTTGCGAACCAGAGAAAGATTCAAGGATGGAATGCGCAAGAAATCAAAGAATGGATTCACCTGCGACTCCTCCACCGTCTCGGCGACTTCCTCCTCCATCTCCATTCGCCGATCGGTCCGTCGATCGAATGAAGGCGCGAACGAGGAAGCGGGCTTTATAGCAAGCTTTCGCACGTGCAAGACTAATCGCTCCATCACGATTCACAATACTACTTGATGAACACATTTTTATTATCATTATATTATCTTCCCGGGTATATTCCACATCACTCCATGCGTGTCACAATGTCTCCTTCCACAAACAATAAATAAGATAATAAGCATGTTTCCTTTTCCCAAAAAAAAAAGCAAGTAAATGGAGATGATATTTAGTGTCACAATCTTGCAACAAAAAATACGATGATGTTTTTTTCACATTGCATCATCTGACATTCTTTATTCATGATTGTATTCATTAATAGAGGGACATGAATGGCAAACAAAGAAGGAAAATTGAGGGTTGATTAGTAAACTCCTCTCAGGTAGAGATTTGGCATGTAATGTAATGGGTGAGCGAGCTACTTAAGCTTAGAATAGAGGATGATGAAAAGATAGTGTCTTTGCAGATCAAATAGATATATCTTTTTAGATAGCATCAAAATGTATATATCGTTAAATCAGATCTAATTATTTAATTTTAATTTAAGTTTAAAAAATTATTTTTATATTTAATGTAGTATATTACATATTTTATGGACATGAGTGTGTCATGAGACTAGGTAGAATAATAAAGTGAAAAGATAAGGGCCTCCCTCTCCTTTCTCTCAAATGAAATTTTTTTTTTATGCAGATTATCTAAATATAAAATTAAAAGGTACACATGTATATTCTTTTATTGTCAAAATTAATAATATTATTGTAGCACTAGGGCAAGACTTATTATAACTAAAAAATATACTCTCTTGTATACTAAAGCTTTTTATATTGATATTATCGATATCGATAAAGCTTCTTTGGATTGATCCTGTGAAAAATTAATTTCAACCATCAACTCTTATATTTTATGATCAAATTTAATTACAGGATAAATCTTTAGCGGTGCAGTCTCACCGCGTGAAACCCGTACCTCAGGTCAATGCTGGATCCGAAGCCTGCAATAGATCCATATTCAACATCTAACAAGTCCGAATCCGATATTTTGCATAATGGGTTCGGGTTGGACATGAGTCGATGTAAACACCACCCGACCCGATTTAAAGGCCTTAAAAGAGGCATCAGTAGACCCAACAAGAACGATAACAAGGATGGAGTTCGAGAAGCGGAAGGCGGCGGTCATGGCGACGCTAGCGGCGCAGGCGCCGGACAAATCGCCGAAGGGGGCGGTGGACGCGCCCATCGTCCCCGTCCTCGACGCCCTCAACCGCCACCACTCATACTTCACTACAAGCTCTTGCTCCGGCCGCATCTCCATCCTCGCCCACGGCCGTCGCCCGGCCCCCGACGCCGGAGCCGTTGAAGGCGACGGAAATAAGACTGCGTCTAAGAAGAAGGCCGCCGGCGGCAGTTGGCTCTTCGTCAGCCACGACCCTGCCGACCCGGCCGCCGTCGTCGACCTTCTCTTCGGCAGCCCTGAGAAGTCCGTAGAGGGGGATCTGGTGTTCCGTTTTGAGCCTCTAATCATCGCGGTCGAGTGCCGGGATGTCGCTGCGGCGCAGGTGCTTGTTTCCACCGCGATTTCTTGTGGGTTTAGAGAGTCGGGTAAGTGAATGATCTTTTTTTCTTTATGAAAGAACTGTTACAGATTAGATTAAACAAAAAGATCTAGTGTTGATTTCTGGTTTGAATTGAAAGAATGTCTTTGAGTCATTTGAAGCAGGTTGAGGAGCTATTCATTAGGATATATAAAGTGAAGAAAAACATAGCTCTTGACCTTCATGATTTAGAAAATTTCAGGTCGGATATATTAATATTAAAAGAAGGATAAATTCTACTTAACTTGTTTCTTGTTGATTTAACAACTCGAGTTTGAAAGTATGCTTTAGGTTGGACTTGTAGGTATCAATTTTGCTTAAGATATGAAATGCCAACTTTAAACTAAGATGTATTTTTTCTGTAGCTATTGGTTATGATTAGTTGAACCTAGGGTTTGACTTACTGATCGGAGCCAGCGTGCCAACCGGTCGGCGGCACAGCATGTGCCACCCCGTACCGGTGTGCTGAGTGTCAAGATGGCGAGGTGTGCTGATGGTGCAAAAAAAGGCCCAAAAACACCACTAAAAATATCTGAAAAATAAAAAAAAAATTATTAGGGTTTTTAATTTTGAACTAAATGTAAGTTTAATATGATTCATAAAAAATATTCTAAATTAGGAAGGAATAGCGACAGATATCTTTTTCGAGCTTTGAGCAATGTTGTGGTATGTTTTGAATCGTCCATCCATTGATACTGAATTATCCACAAAAATATGACTTGAATTATTAGATTACTAGTTAAATTTTAAGATTCAAATGAATTAAGTAATAAAAGGATCGATTGATGGATATACATGGTTCTACCATAAAAAATAAGGAGGCGGTGGATTAGGGTTCTCTATTCTATGTATTAGTATATCAATATGTTATTTTTGTTAGATCCAATCTTGAAATTGATCCCACGATGTAATTTATTAATACATCGTATGTCATTAGTGCATCAATGTGATGATGGTTGTAGTCTGATCATCATGAACGACACGTGTCCGATGCGGCTCCTGAGACAAGTATACTTGTGGCATATATTGGTGTGAAGGTTGGAGAACGTTGGGACATGTATTTTTGTCAATGATCTGTTGCTCCGTATCAGAAGATCAATCACCGTGCTATTGCTTGGAAAGGAATGACCAACTATCATCATGCTGTTGTTGGCCATAAGGTCTTTCATGATACGATGGTTGGGAATACAGCGAGCCCGGCCCTATGTCTACGTCGTATAAGCTTTGTTGCATTTGTTTAAAATCATCGACTACCTTTCCCTTCCCCTTCTGTTTTTGTGTATAAATCTGACTAATATCTCGTCGAGCTTCATGATTTGAATCTTGGGTGACATGTATAAAAAAGGTTAAAAGAGGGGGGAGAAAAGGGTTTGAAAACCCTTTGAACTAGTTCCAACGGTCAATTATACTGGTAAACCTCATCTCTTGATCGATATTGATTAAAATTGGATCATTATCGATTGGTACGGGTCGGTAACGATCGAGTTTTGATTGTTCTGCTAGGTATAGATCCTGTATCGATCGATACAGGGTCCGTAATATATAATCGCTCGGTATAGGACAGTCTGCATGCTGGTCACCTATCGGACCGGTATGTGCCGCTTGTACCATATCGTTTTGGGTCGCACGATGAACCTTGGTCGAACCCAAATTGAACCAACTAGTTAGGTTATATGTACTAATTTGTGTTTTCTTAAAACATTTTTCTTGTAACATGTAAACATATTCTTGTCTCCTCATTAAGCTTCTTTACAGAGTTATCTTCATATTTTACAAAATATTTTAAAGCCGTTTTATTTTAACAATACCTCGTCTTTCTTGTATCATACCTCTCTAATTTATGGGAAACCATTTTGTCTATGTTTGAATATAAAGCCCGACTATTTGAGGGTTGTAACTCCTTGCACGTCCTTGTTAACTCCTTCAATTATACATCACTTTCTTCATGCACTATATTCTTAAATAATTTGGTGAACCTCTAAATGCTTATGTTTTGATTTTGTCTTTTGTCTTTTGTCTTGAACCTTGTCTTCCTGTACCATTCGTAATTATTTATTTTGAATTTTAATGGCAACTGTTGTAATTTTATACAGGCATAACAAACACTCAAAAGCGTATTATGGTTGCTATAAGATGTTCTATTCGTTTGGAGGTGCCACTGGGACAAATGGATCATATTCTGGTGACAGCACAGTATGTCCATTACCTTGTTACTATTGCTAATGATAAGATGGAAATAAATAGAAAAAGAACAGAAAGCTTTCTCCACGTTTTGCAATGCAAGGTGAGTCTACGTTGCATTTTTCTTTTAAAAATTAGATTTATTCCCTTCATTTGCAGTATTATTTTAGCAAGTTGGTTTAAAATCAAATCTACACATGGAGGCACATTTGGTACTGTCTCATTTTCTGTGTGGTTCTTTCTAGGATCACTTAACTATATGCTCTCTAGATTTTCCTGACTTCAGATAACGGTAAGATTCAGTATTTTTTTTAAAGACCAGTTGAATTGTATGTTACAGAGATGCCTATTATAAGCTGTAATGATTGGTGTTTATTAGATATCAGAGAATCCACACATGGTTTAGATGACCAATTATTGCACACTGCAACAATTTTTGTCATTGTTACCTGTTTTTCCTGTGATATACTAGAATAACTGTTTTCGCTATTATACCATGGAATTTGGCTATTAAAATTATTGTTGAGAGGGAAAATAAAAAAAACAGATACAATAAGTTGGGAGTAATCTTATTTTTCTATAACTTCTGGTCCTTCTTGTATGGGGGTTCATTTATGCATCCTTTTTGACCAAAATGGGCTTTAATTTAATGTGCAGGGCCTCTCAGGATCATCAAAGGAAATTATCGATTGTAGCCAAGAGGATTGCAATCAGATGGTTGGCAAAGGGAATTCATTAGATATTGAAGCCAAGACAAATGTCTCTCGGGCTACTACAACACTAAATAGGAATAAAGCTGTAACACCTGGTGAGGATATTGGAGGGGGAAGCAGATTCAAGTCTGCTGGGCATTTGGAAGAGAAAGGCAATGATGCTACTCCTAAGGAATTGTTAGAAGAATCAGTCCATTATCATGAAGTGGAAACTGGATACTCTGAAATGGCTACTAGCACCGATTATACTTTAGGTAAACTAACAGATGCATACTTGTTCCCATTTTCTATTACATTTTTTTCTATTTTCCAAAAACTGTTCCTATTATCTTTTATCTTTTTACAAAGAAAAAGGAGCTAACAGATTTTTGTAGACGAGGCACTTACAGTTCATTTCCATGATTTAAAAGCTTTGAAATTTTGGTTGCAATAGCCGTGCTCTGATAACCTGTGTTATTATTCCAGCGTTGGCACTTGGATCTACAATATTTTGGGAGTTACATTGAAATGAACTGGGATCTTAGTTACTTGGTGAGTTAGTGATCAACAAATTGACTTTGGAGAAGTTTACTATTTTGTATGGGAGGAGAGCTGTTCAAAGCATGGACAGTTTGGGATTAATATAAATATATAATTATACCAGTTGCTATCATTGTATTTTGGAGCTTCTCTTTTGGTTTGTTGCTAGTGGAAATTAATATTTGCTAGAACCACTGTGGTAAACTGCTCAGTATAGGATCAAAAGTAGGCAGCTAGAATAAATAGATGTACTTAGAGACTGGGAGGAGGAATACAATTGTTGGGAAAGGTTTGAGATCTATAATGCCAGATCAAGAAAAGGTCTTTGCCAGCTAGAAGCTGATCAATAACAAGCAATCAAATCACCTTTTAGTTTCAAATGCTGAACTTTAAGTACTGAGATGTTTGGCTTTAGATGAGATTAGATGCGGGTAGTTTAGTTGCGACCAGATATCCGAAGAATAATTTACATTTCCTTCTTTCCTTTCCACTAATAGCAATTATTGATCAATGTGCCATTTGGCTAGCAATTCTGCAGACAAGCAGGAGGTATATGCAAGCTCAAAGGCAACCATGCTCTACTTGCATATTTGCGTATTTGTTTGAATTATATGTTTAGCTTCAATAGCCACCCATTCTTAAAGGTCAAAGGTCTAACACTAGATGTCTAGGAACTTTCTTGTCTAGACTAGGTAACGAAAGAAGTTCTTATGATTCTTATGAATTTATGATGGCCCGTTAGCTAGAGCCGAATTTGCTTTAGACTTTGCTTAAAGTATAATGATCCAGCACTTTCTTGTGTAGACTAGGTATAACTGAAGAAGTCCTTATGATTATTTTGCACTTATGATCAGACCCATTTGCTAGAGCTGAATTTGTTTTAGACTTTATTATTTAGGTTCTCTATTTTTCTTTTTTTTGGTTATTTTATAATGCTTGTTAGTAAGGAATTTCTTTGAAATTTTTAGGTTGGCATATGGAAATTAAAGGTTGGGACATGTATTGTGTTGTTTATTAGAAGAAAAATTATAGGAGGTGAGGAATCTTCATGGAGATTTGAGTTTGTGTATAGTAAAAAATAACTGACAAGAGGGGAACCAATCTTCATTCAAGGATCATGGCAAGTAAGAAAGTTTACCTTTGATTAAGATTTGATTATATTTGAAGAGTATTTTCACCAGATATAGAATATTGGATATGATTCAAATCATTGAGGAATGAGGAATAAACAGATGAAGTATGGATTCAAGTAGAAATTCTGATATTCCTTATTTGTTTTAATTTCATTTGTGGTTTGATTTGGATTTAGAAAGATACGAGTTATTCTTAAACGTTGATGCAAATTCTGATATTCCTTATTTGTTAATTTTTATGGGTGGTTTGATTTGGATTTAGAAAGAGACAAGGTTTATGCTTAAACATTGATGCCCTTTTCACACAATTGAGTACATATACCACCATATCAGGTGCTAGTGTTGGGAACTAGCATTTTATGTGGGCTGGTTCAGTTTGGTGTTAAGAGAATATCCATGACTCTGTTCCATTTTCAGAATTGAGACTGAACTGAACCACAGGAGAGCAAATGGAACTAAATCAAAATTGTTCAGGTTGATTTTTATGTTGGCTTTCCGAATTGTATTACTGTTACATATGCTTTCAAATTGGTCGATACAATGTGTAGCAATCAATATTTATCAACCTGTCGAATTACCTTTTATTATTATTTTTTGATGATACCGGGTGGTAAAGGTCTATGCTGCTCAATATATTGGTACCATACTGGTCTAGTAATTACCGAAAGCAGTATTGCAACAAGATATAAATCTTTGATATCATATTACTTTGTTATATGTAATTGTAGTTTACATGATGTACTACATAATGCATATAAGTGTAAAATATGCTCTTCTACATTTTTTAACTTTTTTTTCTTTGTTTGCCTAGTCCATTTTTACGTTTCTATTGCCAGGTTCAATATCTTCCACTAGCTGCTAGTTTTATGTCTTCAACTTTTCAAAAATGGAACAATCGTTATCAAGTTCTAGGGTTTTGAGTAGTATTATATTGAAGTTGCAGGGCATGAGTATATCTCGAGAGTCTTCTCCAACTATGACTATGGGATACTGTGGATATGTGCAACCCAAAACAAATGTGCTGGTCATGGACATAGGACTTAACATGTGAAGAATGGAGTCTGGAGTAGACCTTTTGCATAACCGAAGTATTAAAAACTGGTTGGATTGGTCCATATCTACTGGCATTTACTACTTTAACCAGATAACGGGATGTAGATTGGGCAATTTTATCCAGTCTGATCTGGAACATGGTTTGCTGTCCGGTAATTCTACAAACTGAGCATACCTCCTGGTTTTAATGAATAAAACCAGGGTACCTGCTGCTCGACACCCATATATATATTTTTTAATTTTTTACAACTGATAGTTGTATTCTTTTTGCCTCCCTTGCTCCTCTTTATATCACATTCTCTCTTGTTTCTCTTTCCTCCCTTTCTTTCTATTGCTCCAGCGCCTCCCTGCCATTGTGTTGTTATTGTGGCCGTGCTGCATCGCTTTGCCGCCTCCCTGTCCATCTCGTCTATGGTTGCTTCTGGTACATTTCCTCCTCTTCCAACTCCACCTCACCTTCACTTCATCCTCCGTTTCTCCTCTGTGTTTTCTTCCTCCTCCTCCCCCCCCGCTTCTCCCTCTCCTCCACCTCTGCTCTTTTCTCTCTCTTTCTGATTGGTCCATTCCAACTGGTATGGTGGTGTACCACACGTTGGTACATTGGTGCTCTACTACGGTTCAGTCAATGACTAATATAGGCTTAGTTTCGAGATTTAGATCTTGTGCTTCAACACAATTTCACTCTCTGGATAATGGTCCAAAGAATTTAGTTCACAAGAAACTTGCTATATTGAATCGTCATTGTTTTTTCATCAAAAGTTACATTTTCTGATTGATGATTCTGGAGATATGGAACTCAACTTTTAATGTAAACTTTATGCCACTTTCAGATGATTTAAAGCACACCACTGTTTCTGCTATAGATTAAGTTACAATTTGTCAACAGAGATATCAGGAACTTCCAGGAGCTCTCTTTCAGTTGTCATGTTAAAGATTGTTGGTGAACCAATCGAAAAGCTCTCCCTATGGGGTCAGTCAGCTTGTGCTTTAAATATCAAAGGAAAGGAACAGGTAATTGTCTTTGGTGGTTTCGGAGGTTTGGGACGTCATGCACGAAGTAATTATTCACTTTTGCTGGATCCTCAATCTGGACTGTTGAGAAAAATTGAAGTTGCAAGTTCACCACCTCCACGTATGGGTCATACGTCTTCACTTGTGGGGAGCAGTATTTTTGTTATCGGAGGAAGGGCTGGTCCCTTGGAGATTCTTAATGATGTGTGGGTTCTTGAAACTACTGAAAATCGATGGTCTTTACTAGATTGTAGTGGCCAAGTCTTTAATCCAAGGTAACCTCCCTTAGTGATGCTTAAGTTACTTTGTTATTATTTTTCACAAGCTTTTTATGGGGAGAATGACTTAACAGATATAACAGTTTATGGTTAGCTTTTAGTGAAACCTCACTCAATCGTGACTAATAGAGTTTTACTGTTTAATTTTTCTTCAACATGTAACATTCTTGTTTTTATTATCTGTTCTGCCAGAAAAGTTGACTTTAAAAATGTAGCTTTATCATTTTTAAGACTAGTATTTTATTTAAGTTGGTGAATAGTTTCTATGCTTGAGAACCATCATTATATTACATATGGAATGTTATCTCATGATAAAGTGAGAAAGTGTTGTATTCCATATGTACTTCTTGATTAGAATATTCCTCTTCAAAACTTTAGGTAATTTCTGACATGTGGGTTTCAAATTGCTTGCCATATTCTTATTTTGTGCATGCCGTATACAACACTTGTAGGATACTTATTAAGTTATTATAATGTGTTGAAATATCAAATCTTTTGAATTACTATAAAAATATCCTATACTTTTAGGATGTTCATAAGATAGTTTGTGGAAGTTCTAGAGAATTTTGTTTCTTAACTATTAGTTGTTGATTTTAGTTGAGATGGATATGTGATTGAATATGTCAATTTTTATTTTTTTATTAAGAATTAAACTGCAATAATTGAAATCAGAATACTGATCTTGATGTATCAGAATTTTATGGTATCTTATGTACATTCTTTAACTAAAAGTAATTCCTTTCTGTTGTAAACAAATCAGGGATGCTAGTCAATTGTTGTTATGTGCAAAATATGTTTACTAATGCTTTTAAGTACGAGTCAAACATTGTCATATATATTGTATTAAAAAATATTCTTTTGTCATATTTTTGCCATATAATATATATTTTTTTAGGATTTACTCTATCCTCTTGATAACCCATATTCATTTGCATATCCATCTCCATGCTTTATGGTAGCTGATCTATGCTAGCATTTGTTTGAACTGTACAACTGTTTTCTATAGCTTTTAAATATAGCAAAGATAACTTTAATTGATATATTTGGACTTTGGAGTTTGTTTGCCATCATATGAGTACCTATTGCTATACAAGGTTTCCACTTAACCATATTCCTTATCAATTTTGAAGATGTAAATCCATCATCTTTTTTTACTTATATTTCCATTGCAGGCACCGCCATGCTGCTGTGACTATGGACTCAAAAATATATGTCTTTGGTGGCCTTAATAATGAAGTGATCTACTCCTGCATGAATGTTCTAGACACTCAAACCATGAAGTGGAGTGAGGTTAACATCTCTGGAGAATGGCCTTGTGCTCGTCATTCACATTCTATGGTTGCAATTGGCTCTCAGTTGTTCATGTTTGGGGGTTATGATGGTGAGAAGGCACTAGGTGATCTCTACAGTTTTGATGGCAAAACTTTACGGTGGAAAAGGGAAAAGACAACAGGAAGAGCTCCTTTTCCTAGATTTTCACATTCAATGTTTGTGTACAAAACTTATCTTGGCATTATAGGCGGCTGTCCTGTGAGGCAACACTATCAAGAGTTGAGTTTGCTGAACCTGACTTGTCATGTTTGGGTGCATGTGACCATTGACTCTTTTGGTAGAGAACTTTGGGTTCGAAGCTCCACCTGTGTAGTCGATGATGAACTTGTTATTATTGGTGGTGGAGCATCATGCTATGCATTTGGGACAAAGTTTAACCAGCCAATGAAAATAAACTTACAATTGTTAGAATCTACTGGTTACCTCTGTCCTGAAACAGAATATCAGTCGGTTATACAATATAACAAGACAAACATGCTCGGGAGTTCACTCTGCAACAATTATCCACACGGGGCCTCTTGTGATTCTGAACCAAACAAATTGGTTGATAGGTCTTGTAATGGAAATGGGCATGACACTAAAGAGTATGTTCTACAAATCAAGAAAAATTGTGCTAAATTTGCCAAGGATGTAATCAAGAAGTTTGGATATCTGGATCTCTCAAGAAATGTTCAACCAAGTCCAGATGGCTTCTATATTTGTTTACCAATCACTCGGGAATTTTATGGTTTAGTACAGGAAAAGCAACTGACTCAACTAAATGACACTAATGACTATTCTGATAACTTCCATGCATATCTGAAGGACCATTCTGTAAATGAGGTCTCTCTGTCAACAGCATTGAGCATCTTGTTATCATGTGGAGGTTCTTTACTAATAGACAATGTAGCCTGCAGCAAGAAGTTTCACAAATCTCCACAAAAGACACTGAGAGAATCTGTGTGCTCTTTGTTAACTGAAAAAGGGATGCCTTTACAACTGTTGGAGCAGATACCTGCAAGGTTTGATTCATTGGCTTCATGTTTCTCTTTATTATTTCTTTAGTAAACAGAAAATTCCTACATATTTAAGCCATTATCACAATGAAAGTTTGGTCTTTTTTTGGTTTTTGTTTTCGAGGTATGAGTTTAAGGTAATCATCATTACAATGTACAAAGGCTTCGAACATTATATTACATCTTGACAAAATGATATGTGCCACTTAGGTGGGAGCATCTAGGGGACATTATTGTTCTTCCAAAAACTGCTTTTATGGATCCTAGATGGGATTCTGTTGGAGAAGAACTTTGGCCTATTGTTGCTAAATCTCTTGGTGCCCAGCGGTTAGCACGTCAAGTAAGTTACTATCAAGTTGGTTTAATTTTTCCAATTTTCTAGTGTCATTTGTCACATTATTTTTCTTCCGTATTTTCTACACGGATTATTTTTTAATGCAAGCTTATATGATTATGAAACATGCTATGAACTTATCATGTTGTTTATAACTCATGCAGTATGAGGTTAGTAATAGAATTGATTTCATGGCTAGAAATTATGATTCCTGTTTGGTATATTTAAATGTTAAAACTTTATGGTTCTCACATGTGCCATAAGTTTTCATGGTTAACATTTCCTGATTGTTCCTTGGGAAACAAATTATAAAGACAGCCAAAGAAAGAATGGATGTTCATGAGGTCCAGCACAAGAATTTCACATTTTCCGTGATGATTGAATTTTGCACTTTCCATGATGATTGAATCTGGCATTTTCCTTGATGATTTTTGCTGTGCCAAAGCTGCACAAATATTTTACCTTTCTGCATCACACATTTGTGGACGTATAAAGAGCCTCATACTCGGAAAACTCTTGAGTTTTGCACTTGATCTTTATTGCTCAACAACTTAATTTTTTTGTGGTTTGATTCTGTTGCACCATGCATACCATTTTCATGTTCTGGATGCATGAAGGTAATGCACACAAAAAAAAAAGAAAAAAAGAAAAAGTGGAAGACTGGATGCTCCCTTTTTATACAATGTGATGCTTATTTGTGTTCTATACTGGTATTTTTGGATGGTATGCCTTTTTATGCAATTATGTTGATGTTGTATCAGGGTCGAATTTTGCCGACTGGGACAAGGGACAGCACATTAGAAATTCTTCTGGGAGAGAATGGCCGGGTGACACATCATGAAAATGGAATCATCTACTCCTTTGATGCAACAAAATGCATGTTTTCTTCAGGGAACCTCTCTGAAAAGCGTCGCATTGCTCAATTGGATTGTGCAGATGAAATTATTGTGGATTTGTTTGCTGGAATTGGATATTTTGTTCTTCCATTTCTTGTTAAGTATGGCCAGTTCCTTTGGTTAGATTATATTCATTTACTAGAATCTTTAAAGAGTTTTATACTTTTATGATGATTTTGTATTGAACATAAAGTTATGCGCAGAGCTAGGGCAAAGCTGGCTTATGCATGCGAGTGGAATCCTCATGCCATAGAGGCTCTTCAGCAAAATGTTCATATCAATTCTGTGGCCGACCGATGCATCATACTTGAGGGAGATAATCGCATTACAGCTCCTAGAGTATGTCATTGATTGCACTTTTTTCACTTTAAATATTTCAAAGATGATTCCCTAATGATGATGTGTCTGTTAATATTGGTTCATGTTTTATGGAAGTTAATATCTTTTGTTTTTGAGATGGCATGTAGTTTTACATTGCATATTGTCCCATCACCTGATAAAATTTTATTTACCTCTCACTAATAAGATGGAAGTACCATCACTTTCATCTCAGTTCTGTTGTATTGACTTCAAAATTGTGTTGACTTCTGAAAATGGTCACATTTTATTTTGATGATCAAAATGTTTTTATATTGTTGCAATGCTATCATCCATCAGCAATTTGTGGCATTCAGGGATTAGTTTCGAGTGAAAAACATTCGATGGAGTCAACAAGCTGTTTGTACCTGTTGCTTCTTAATCTTTTTATTGTTTTAAATTCCTAGCTGAATTTCTTTGTTAATAAGCATAGATTCTGTATCTTTTGGTTCTAAAAGTTTTCATTTTAGAGTACTAGCGAGCAATATGGATTGGAACAGAAACTATAGAATAGCTGAGATGAGGCATGTTGAGTCATATGGCTGGTGCTTTGACAGTTGACAAGGGAATAACCACAGTCAATTTAAGGAGTTGTATGCCTATCAATATTGTCATGTCTCTATGATGATTAAATAATGGGAAAGCGTCACCATTCAGCATAGCCATTTCCAAACAACGAAAGGCTTTTGTTATGTGGTATGCTGATTTAGACGAAGGAAATTGAAAACTTGGCATGTTTAAGATGATGATTCTTCAGATATTTAGATGGTTGAAAACTAGATAGACGAGATTTAGCTCCGTCTGATGGCTTGCTCGGTTCATCACAATGGTTTTGAGTACCAAGGCTTGGGTATTCAGATGCTATGCTAAATGGTCTGAGGTTCAATTAGTTAGGGGGACAGTTCTATGGCATAGGTAGACTATTGCCAATTTGTTTCTTTTGCACTGTACGGAGAGGAGAGAATAATATTGAAAGAAAAATAAAGGAGAGATAAGGTCATTTGTTTCAGAGAAAAAAAGTATTTTTCAATAGGAAAAAAAAAGATGCATGTATCTTTACACTGCAACAATCCGAACCTTATTAAGTGTTGATAGTTTGATATCCTCCTTTTTTAGGACTCTGGAACAAGAAATAAAAGTTCTATAACTAGGGATATCCAATGCAAGGATTTAACACCTGTCTGATACTAGTTTCAGTAACCAATCAGTCCAATATGATATCGGTATATCCACTTTGATTATACCATTCAATAAAGTTTAAAAAATGGAATCATATGTGCACCTATGTTAGTTATATGTTTCCATTTTGATACTAGTTGGACTGGTAAATAATAGTTGGCGTGTATTGGTACATTTGGTATTCAAAACCTTTATTAAATGTAAAAGTAAATTTTTTTTGATTGAACAGGCAGCAAGGCTTTTCAAAGTTTCTACTGACCTTTGGAATTCTGTGTAGAAAACTGAACTTACTTGGAGAATGAAGTAGGACAAAGAAATGTTCATTTAATAAAAGCATTAAGAATAGACAATGTATTCTTGTCATTCACCACTCTCCGAAGGCTCTCATATAACTCGCAACTGATCTATCGGCTGGAGTTATTGCAGGACATTGAAAAATCATATTCTTAATCTTCACTACATTATAGAAGTGCAAATGTATACAATCAGTTGCAAGACTTAATTTGCAGAGGTAACTGTGGATAGTTTCAACAAAATCCTTTGCGGAATGGTATGGCTGGAGTTTGGGTCATGCAGCTTTGTGTTATATACTAGCCTCACTGACTTGTCTTTTTCTAGCTTGGCATCCTGAAGAGTTTGTTATTGTAAGAACTCATCTTTTCTGATTGCCTGGCTCCAATTTGTTCATTGATCATTTTGTCAGATTATTTATATTCTGTACTCATAGAAAACCATATCAATGATGAAACTTGTTTCTTTCCAAATAAATGCAATTTTTGGTGGGTAAATTTTTTGCAAGTACATTGTTCTAGGTTGCATTTTTTTGCATTCCACCATTGTCTATATGATAAAATTGGTTTTTGATGGGATAAAAGATCTGCTCTTTACCACTTCTCCTTTGGCCTAGCATTCATTGAATAAGTAAACGCATCTGTGTTCTAGTTAGCAACTAATAAGTGGTGATCCATTCAATTTGGTTGTCAGGGGGTTGCTAATCGTGTCTGCCTTGGTCTCCTACCTTCAAGTGAGTGCAGCTGGAATGTTGCTGTAAGGGCTTTAAGGTAGATGAGCTATTCCAATAATGTAATTGGCTTGATTTTGATATTGTGCATGTCTTATAATGTTGCTTTGTACTGTTTATCCTCGTGGCTATTCAAAGATTATACAAGGAGCATCATGTACATGACAATTCTTTTTAGAGTTATCATTAATTTTCTATAGTTTAGCAACTTGTGCATAATGCTTATGATTAGTATGGAAGTAGAAAAGTTGTATTATATTTTTCACAAACAACAATTAGTAATTGGCATTATCTCTGGCCTAAATTTTGTTATTTGAGCCTAAAATTTAGTCAATATTGCAATATTTCTATCTTTTACAACCAAATCATATGTTCAGGGCTGAAGGTGGCATCCTTCATGTGCATGGAAATGTCAATGACTCCGAAGAGTCCTCATGGTTGGAACATGTCATAAAATCCATAAGCAACATCGCCTGTTCTGAAGGTAAATAAACATATAGGATGAGAATTGTGGACATGCAGTTCTCCGGTTCTTAAACCATATTTTCTCAGTCAAAAAATGTGAGGTTATGTTTTCTCCCTGTACAGGTTTACTTTGGGATGTCTCAATACACCACCTGGAGCGAGTAAAGTGGTATGGGCCTCACATACGGCATCTTGTTGCCGACATAAGATGCAAACAATTGTAGATTAGATGTGCGGAAACAAATTTCAAATTTTGGAAGTGAAGCAGATGTAGTGAGTGTATTACAACATCAGAGTTGCCCGGTACTGTACTGAACAATCTTTTGTATGATGTTGTATTGAATTATATTCAATCTTGTTTGCGTCCATTCTAACTGTTAAAGCTGCTACGGTTGTTCATCCATCTCTGTCTCCATTTCTTGTCTGTCCTTGCTTGGTGGTATTAGATTCATGCAGCCAACCCCAATTAGGTTTGTGTACTGACCTGAAGTCTCATCTCATTAGTGATTGATGGTACTTAGGAAGACAAAGACCCCTATTAGGTTTATCAAGCACTCAGTTCTTAGGTGTCAAAAGGGTAGGCCAAGTAACATTTGAATCACACACTTGTGTCATTAGATCTATATTATCATCATGTGTTATTAGCTTAGGACAATTAAGGATCAATGTTTTATCATACTGTGTTTGCTTTAAGAAACATGGCCGTTGCATAGTCTTCTTGTTAATTGTGTTGCATAATATTTACCTGTTTTAATCCATTGAAAACTCAAATGACTACATTTCAGGAGGAAGAACAATTGTCTGAACCACTTTGATAAGATCAAACTCAGCCAGCTTTGGCTTCATCTACTTGTAGATTTTGAAGAGCTACTGCTCCTGGATTCATTAAGCCTTATTTAAGAGCTCTGAATACAACATTGTCCAACATGGCTTATGTTGTTCCTCATATCCTTGTTCGAGCAGATGACCAACCAAGCCCATATTGACATAACAATTGTGAAGAACAGAACAGGATGATTGATTGCAAGCTACACATCTACAGCTAGATTTCTGCACCACTTGATTCATTCGTACCGGAAGAAGCTACTACACCAGCAGCACTGGCTGCTGCATCCCACTCCTCATCATCGAGCAAAACTCCTCATAGTTGATCCTTCCATCCTGCAGTCAATGAATGGGGGGAGATCAGCAGAAGAAGAAGACATGAATCTTGTGCGAGACCATCCACAGGTCAAACTAGAAGAGTGAATGTTTGTTTCTACATGATCTGCGTCGACTTCCGATATGATTTCCTTGATCGTGTCTGCATCACCCACTCCATGTTGCTTCATGGCTGATTCCAGTTCTTCTCTGGTGATGAACCTGGCAAAGAAGAGTTTAGACGAATCGAATGCTCGAGAAAATTCACTCGAGCTCTAAGTAGAACTCACCCGCTGCGGTCCTTATCGAAGTACTGAAACGCTCGATACAGATGCTCCTCCCTCTCCAGTTTGTGCCGATGCATCGTGGCGGTGATGAACTCGATGTAATCGATGCTTCCATTCCCATCCACGTCGGCCTGAGCAGAGACCCGATCTATGTTAGCTTTCGGTGAAGTCAAGCCGGGGAAGAGCATGAGAGATTAGCATCTTACAGCATCCATGAGCTGCTTTATCTCAGCCTCTGATAGCTTCGAGCCGAGGCGAGCCAATCCCGTCTTCAGCTCATCGTATGTGATCGTGCCACTCTTGTCCGTGTCCATGTTGGTGAACATCTGCTTCAGCCCTTTGATCTCTTCTTCCGAAAGGTTCTCAGCAATGACCTGGACGGGAGACACTGTGAGCACAAGGGAATCTGATGCGATCGATACCATCTTGTGCTGATCGCTAACCTTGAGCGCCATCTTCTTCATCTTGTTCATGGCCCTGAACTGCTTCATCCTCGAGAGCACTGCGCTGTCTATAGGATTGTCTGATGCCTCTCCACCTTCTACCATCCATGGGTGCTCTGAAAAGCCAATCCCACCATTAGCAGCGAGGAAGACTAAAGGAATTAAATGGATGGAGAATTCAACTAGACACGGACGAAGAACTTGAGCCGCAGTGATTCTTTTCTTGGGGTCCTGTTTCAGCATCTTCATGACCAGGTCTTTGGCGCTGCTCGATATAGATGGCCATGGCGCACTCTCAAAGTCGATCTCTCCCTTCAAAATAGCATCAAAGATTCCTCTTTCGGTTTCTGGGGGAGCAGCGTGCAACAGAGGAAACCATGACATCAGCCATGAAGAGACCAAAGACCGAAGGATTGAGAGGGTCTCATCTTGATACTTACCAGCCCAAAATGGAGGCACGCCACTGAGAAGAATGTAGAGGATAACACCTGCACTCCAAATGTCTATCTCCTTCCCATAACGTTGCTTTAGGACCTCAGGAGCAATGTAGTAAGCACTTCCCACGATATCTTTGTACACTTTGCCTGCAGTGAGATCAGTTGATGATGGTCGATGCCACTAGGGAGCTTCAAGAGATCGATCGACATGAATGCGCAAAGAATCATAGCAGATCCTGTGATCATGGAAGCGGCTGACCTTCTTCGATGAAGACCGAGAGGCCGAAGTCGGTGGCCTTGAGCATGGCGTCCTCCTCGTTGGTGGCGAGCAGGAAGTTCTCTGGCTTCAGATCTCGATGCATCACCCCCATGAAGTGGCAGATGTTGACCACGTTCACTATGGCGCGGCAGATGGCCGCCGCCGCGCGCTCCGAGTAGTGCCCCTTGGCGATGATGCGGTCGAACAGTTCGCCGCCGGCGCACAGCTCCATGACCAGGTTCACCGAGTTCCGGTCCTCGTAAGCCCCCTTGAACTCCACTATGTTGGCCTGCCCGGTGAGGTGCTGCATGATCTGGATCTCCCTCTTGATGTCCTCGCGGTCGCTCTTGGTGGCCAGCTTCCGCTTGGAGACGGACTTGCACGCGTACTGGGCGCCCGTGGCGGTTTCGGTGCAGAGGTAGGTGACGCCGAACTGGCCACGGCCGAGCTCCTTCCCGAGGCTGTACAAGGACCTCACGTCCGCGAAGGGCTTCCCGAGGATGGCGTTGGGAGCGACCACGCCCTTGGAGGCCGGTGGTGGCTGCGCCTGCGGTTGGGCCTGCGGAGGAGGAGGAGGCTGGTACTGTGGCGGCAACGGCGTTGGCTCCTGGTAGGAGTGGCCATTGATTTCTCTTGTTGCCACCGAGTGTTTGCTTTTGCTGAAGCACGCTCCCATCTGAATTCAACAACACAAGGCAAAATTCTGCTCAGGAATGCAAATCAAGGGAGCAGCAAACCAGATCTGACCACGATTCATCCACTCAAAAGGACAGATATGCCACACTGTGTGATACAACATGCAGGTTTTTCAAGATCAAACTATGATTTAGCAGCTCCAAAAGGAAATATATCAGTAGAACATAGAGAATTCACTGCACCTGTGAACAGATGAAGCTGGCTGAGCTGAAGAACTCAGACTAGACGATCGTGGACTCCAAATGCTGCAAGTTTGGGATAAAAGTGAGATGAGAGGATGGAGAGGTTGCAGATGGTGGCAGGGCTGTAGTGTAGAGGGGGGGGGAGGGGAAGAAGAAGACTTCGATACCAAAATAATCAACAATAAAACTCCAAATCCTAAATAAACAACACGAGATTTACTGAGAATTTACTTAACAGATGAAGCTGGTTGAGCTGAAGAATTCAGACTGGAGGATTGTGGACTCAGATTCTGCAAGTTTGGTCTGAAGCTGAGATGATCACGGAGAAGTCGCAGAGTTTGGGAAGGCTTCAAATTAAAGGAAAGCAGTCTTATTTTAGAGAGCAACCAATTGAGAAGGTCGTTTTACATGTCCCCATCTGACAATACAGTGCTGTCATCATATCTTTTTCTTGCTGCATGATCGAGTGTTGGAAGACAGTGGGAAGACAGAGAAATATCTATATATATATATATATATATATATATATATATATATATTCGAATACTCCTAAAAATTATCTATCCTATTAGTTGGCAGCATGTTATGTTAAATTTAAACTTCAAGGATACCAAGATGGATTTTTCATGTTGCCTAGAGAGAGAGAGAGAGAGAGATGTCTGTCATTGTGTCTCTCTTCAGTGAAAGTAGAAAGTAGATAGTAGATAGATGTCGCTCGTCATCATCGAACTGTAAAAGACTTCGTCCTTCTCTCTCTTTGGCAGTAGTCGGAGAGAAGGACATTCCTTGTCAGCTTCCTGTGTTTGCTGTTCATCTTGTTCTATTATGGTTCCACCTTATGTCGGACGGCAACATCGGATGAAAATATCTGCAACCACACACGACTCATGTCCCGACTTGGTGTACAACAGCCTCAGTTCAGCCTGTGGTAACTTACATCGTGGAGTCACTCGTGTCCAGATGAAGTCACTTCAATTACCTTAGTGTATAAAGGATGGACACCAACACTTGGCATCAATCCCACTCTTTGTGTAAGATTGTGATGTCAAAGATTTATATCTCATCTTTTGTTTTCTTATGTTGTAGGGAATCCCAAACCATATTCTCTCTCTCTCTTTTAAATTATGATAAAAATATGATATTTCTCTGTCTATAGTATAGAGATGGAATGATAAAATAAAATAATTAAAAAAAATCAAGAACATGAAACTTGCAAGATATTTTGTTATTAAATAAATATTTCATCTTTTTTTTAAGGAGTCCAACATCTGTAATTTGTCAAAGTCTTTATCAATTAAACTAACTAATACTATTTGAATTATGTCACTTATCCTTAAGAAAAAAATCATCTTTCATCTTAAGTACTCCCACCATTCTTTACAGTCAAAAGAAATTTTGGGAACAAACTCTGGATTTTTGTGCTTCAAATGCAAGATAATATTGGACAACAAAATGAAGAATAAAAAAGGGTGGTTGTAACCAACAACTTGGCTTCTAAAATCCACATGATAATTTTAATATGTTTGAGCTTCTAATGGATGTGATGAACAAATAGGCTTTATTATATGTTATATTGTGAAATGGCATGTGGAAGGTAGGAAAGGAGATAAGTAGTAGTAGTTGAAATGTGTTAGCAAATATGCTTGATTGATAGCTAATGATATGCCCTACAATCTTTTCCTTTCTCTAAACCACCACCCAATTGTTCTGTATCTTTGTGGCCAAGTGTGCTGTTTGTTTTCAGTACAAGTGTGTATGAGGACCACAGCAATTGATGCTGTTTAGTGGGGTTTGACCAACCAAAGTCATGTAGTGGGGAATTACTTTTCTGATTTAGGAAATTAAGAAAAATAAAATCACATACATATACATATACAAAATAAAAGATTTTGATATTTATGACTTTAAATAAGTTAAGTTTAACAATATATATATATATATATATATATATATATATATTCTTCTAAAATGGAAAAAAATTGCCACTATTGTGGTTGGTTAGTTTTCTTTAGTTAATACTATCATTTATCTATTAAAATAGTATTAATATCTTTTAAATTTAATATTATAATATAGATATTTACATTTCTTTAACTCAAACTTACTAGTATTAGCTATAACTAATCAAGATTAAGCTAGATTTTTATGGCAAATGTTGATAAGATGAATATATGTGAAAAATCTTTTTTTTTTCCAAAATATTATTACCAATATATATAGATAGATATTTATTTATTTATAGATATGTGCCCACAATGTGACTGTGGGTAAGGTGTCCTTTTAAACTTTTCTGTGGGCCTGTAAATTATTTGTTTCTCTCTCTCTCTCTCTTATCAGTGATGCACAAGTTGGTGCTGAGTAGTTGTCTTTTGAAATGAAAACGAAAAAAACATTGAAAACATGCCCACCGACTTAGAAGATCTCAGAATCAATGAAATATTAGCTTAATGTGAATCCAGGCAGAATTAGGACTAAATTTTCCTTCTGTCTACTTGTAATATTACTTCATTTCAGGACAAATTTTAGCTCAGTGCAATCCAATCCCAAGTTGAAGCTTGGCTTTGTGAGGTTGTTTTGGACTCCATGGAGCATTTCTCCACAGCCACAGCTACATCTGAGCTTTAGATTTAGCTAATTGTCTTTGGCTGATTTGGAAAACTAGAAATGATATTAGAATTAAATTTAATTTTCAGTTAGCAAAGATTCATCTTCATTTGATCAAATCATAACTCGAATGATGTAATAATGCTTGTATTCTAACTTATTATTTTTTAAATAAAAAGAAATTATATTGATCTGTTAAAAAGTATATTATATGACCTTTGAAGGTCATTATAAGAAATAGACTCCCAAGTCTTTAGAAAATATGAGACAGATAGCTATTATCTTATCTTATATAAGAGACCTTTTTCAAATATTATGTCCACTATAACTATTTCTTTTTCACTTGGCTGATTTCAGACCTACCAATCAACAAATGAACAATTAATGTTCTTTATGATGAGATCATCCTCAATAACTTTAACAATGGGCAGTAGCACTATCTACAGAGGAGAAGAAAGATGTTTGATCATTGATGTTAAATCATGAAATTTGTAGAAAGCTGAATCAGAGGTCAAATCTAAAAAGAAACTTCTGTACACTTTATTTTTCATCATAGAAAAAAATGAGACTCTGTCAAATAGTTTGATCCCAATGGAAACTTGAATACATTGCTGCAAGTAGAGAGATGTTTGATCAGGTTTAGCTTGAATGGGTCCTTTACTACTTGAAGTAAGCTATATACATTTAGTTTGATTGTTCTATGTTCCTATATTCCTTTTACTCAGAGAAGAATTTTATATCAAATTTCACTGTGTTAGTAATAGAAGGTGAGAAAATTTTATATTTGAAGGTATGGATATACAAGTGATAGGAGATTCCACGCATGAAAATCTTTTTTATCGAAATCCTTTTGGATAACTCATGTAATCGCTCCCGATATTAGTTCTGATCACCTTGACTCATTATAAAAAGCTTACATTCTTAACACTATCTAAGAAATAGATTTTTTATTATTTTTCAAATCGTTCCGTTCTTTAGTATCAAAGAACTTCTATCAGACACATCCTCCTCACTTGTCTCTCGACATCCTATCTTTTATAATTCCAAAGTTAGATTCCGATTCTCTCGAAGTCCTCTCATATATTCAACACACACAATTTGACTTATCCAAATGAAACACTTACTCTTAAACCATTGTTACAACAACATAGGTTGAGGCATGTTTATGACAGTGACTTCATGTGAGTAAAAATGCACCACTTGACTTGCAATTTTGCGTGTGCCGATCGTGTTTCGTTTGTATTTGATTACACCTAATCGATGAATCAAGAGACTCGATTGGTCAACCCAGTTTGATCATTTTTATTACATATAAGAAAAATATCATCTACCAAAAATTAAGGAAATAATTCCACGCATCTTTTTCTCTTTCTAATCAATATCATCATGATTGAAGTGCAAACATCAAAGTTGATTCGCATGAACTCGATCCAACCCAACTCGGCCCAACTACTTCCCAATAGAGGCCTTAACGCAGATAGTGTGTCGGCCCACATCAATGACACACCGAATAGAGATGCTGTCACCGCATCTGGGCGGTAACCCAAACTTTTGTTCCGGTGTGGTGTCACAGATGGAGCTTTGGCCGTTAGATGACGGGGTAACGGAAGGCTTTCGCTGGGTTAAGAGGTGACCGGATCCGGCCATGTTGGTTTTGTGCTTCTGTGCCCTGTCCCCCCTTTCGCTCGCTCCCGAAAAAACCAGCTTTTGGGCCTCTCCGGAGTCGAAGTTTTGGAGACTTCGCACCGCAATCTCAGCCCCAACGATCGATCCAAAGGGTACAATTTATTGTTGTTTGGCGAAGAATTTGATCGCATTCCGTTGCCCTTTCTTCATTTTGTTTTCTGATTTTTATGTTTCTTCGGACATAGTGATCTGATTTTGGGATCACCGGAATCGGAGGCTTCGTCTCGACCCGTTTCTCATTTGCATTTGTGTCTGGATTGCTGGATTATCAAAGGGATTTACTTTATTTTTATGGGTCGGTTACGTTCTTGCATTCTTTGCCGGTTAGGGTTCTAATTTGGGCCTACTAGACGGAATTCTCGAAGTTGTTGCAATTTGAGGAAATGGATAGACTATATTCGATCTCGTTGTCGGTATTACATGTGTTTGCGTTGGATTTTGGTCGATTGATCTGTCTGTGTTTGTAGTTCTGTTTGATATCAATGCTTCCTGTATGTTGATTAGAGTTAGATGGATTGCCCTAAGTTGCGATCGGTTTTATGCTTGTATCCGTTTTGTCACTAGGAATTCTAATGGGTTCTTTTTCGTTGATTAGGTTTTTCTCTAGCGGTAATAAAATGTTTAGTGTAAAAAAATCTGTGCTTTAGTATACGGTGTTTTTGTACTTAGTACCATCAGCGAAAATTGGTGTCTTTTCCATGACTTGTTTTTGGTACGATTGGTTCTGAAGGTGTCTTTTTGCCTCTCTTTCTTCACAAAGATGTTATTATTCACTTGGGAACACTATTATTAGACACTACTTCTTTTGGCTTGGGAAAATAGAAATGCATGATTTTTTTTTTCCTTTCTCCGTGAATGGAAACAACTCATTGGTAATTCACTGCATTTATGACGAGGTTCGATGCAGAGTTGTGTAGTCAGTAACTGTTCCTGGCTACACTAATTCAAAGAATACGGAGCTTAATGCATAATCAAAATTTTCCATTTGAAATATTCGAAATAATTTTGTTCAAATATGTAACTAAATGGCTTCTACCTAATTGTTTAAATATGTATAATCAAGTGTTTTCTTCTTTCTTTCAGCTCAGAGTAATGGAGTTGGGTTCTCCCAACATGGAGGATGGGACTCCATTTAAGTCAGAATTGGACGTTAACTCACATGGAAATAATGATGGAGAGGGA